AAAGCACATAACTCGTTAACTCGTATGAGGCCTTGCAAAGCCCGTCCTAAAGGCCCAACTCTTCCGATTTCTTTTTGCACCGCGCAAGCTTGCTTTAAAGAGCATCGTGTCATCAAGAAAGTAAAGCCACAAAGTCGCGACACCCAGAGCCTGAACTGGCACGGAAGGCAACCGGGTAGACTGGCGGGGCCGGCGGTCGGCCTGTCGGATTTACAGACTGAGTGACCGATCGACAGCCGAAGACCAGTAGGCCGAAAACACATAAACCATCACCAAAAAAGACCTCGATTACAGCCTTAGTTGTCAGTCGGCATCCCTGTGACAAAGGACCGAACCGAAAACCAAAAGCAAACAACAAAAAAAACGCCAAAAAGACCCGGACCCGATCTTTGGCCTGCATCATCTCAGTCTCGCAGTAAGGAGCCTACTTCGTTCCTGCACCCGCAGGAAAGTTGGAGAGTATATTCTAGTATATTGGATTCTATTCTATTGCGTTCTATTGTATTCTATTCTAGGATAACAAGACCCTGAGCTTGGACCAAAAGCGATCCGTGCAGGATTACTTCAAGCAGTCGACAACGCGTCTGTTCTTCATTGCAGACAAGTGTCTCGGTAAAAGATGCTTTTGAGACCGATAGGTTGCGGTATTGTGAAAGCCGAGACCCTGCCAAAGTTTAAACCCTCAGCAATTCGAACCCACAGCCATTTAACTTGCGGAGTCTAGAGATGGGAAACTCCGCACCTAAACCCGGAAGCCACCTAAAGCCGCCTACACACCAGACTCTGGAGCACTCACTCATTGCAGGCCGGTGCACCTAGAACCCTCAACTCCTCAAAGCCTACGCCCTTCACCCTCAAACCTTGTACCCGCACTATCTTGAGCCCCAAATGCCTCACATCTTCGGCGCCTCTAAACCGGAAGAAATCCAAGCCAAAGCCCCAACTGGCCAGGGTCTTTGCCATGACCGTGGACATGTTCAACTCACCCAGATCCTTGGTCAATGTTAAGGAGAGCCTCTTTGCCAGGGTTGGGGTTTGGGATTAGGTCTTTTGTTGTAGAGCCCATCTAGAACATGTATAGAACCCTCAATGGAACCTAGCCATCAAAGGAGCCACTATCGGAACATTTACGGAACCCTCAGAGGATCCCTTAAAGGAAAAGAACCCTGATTAAAAACCAATCAACGCAGAAACGCCTCTTAGCATCCTTTTTTCTTTCCCTTCCTAAAAGGGGGCCGAGGATCCATGGTCGAAGATATCTCGGCCTTGGGTCTCCGCCGCTCGGACAGTGTTAGGACTTCAACCCATCAGTTTGCTAGAAAAGGCGTTTGTGTTTTGAGGCTGGATGCATCACGGCTTTTGTGACCCCTGCATAAGAAAGCCGGTGATCGAAGTGTCATGAAGGGTAGATGTATGGACGGTAGCTACAAGTTAGAAGTTAATCTTCACTTCTGCTCGCGGAAGAGGGACTGGCATCGACTTGAGGATTTCAGTCACGGGTTTACGTCCTCGGCCCTAGATCCAGATAGTTGGAAAACCCAAAGCCCTAAGACAAAAAGACCCCCTAAGCCCGAGATCCCAGGCCATGTGGGCTATGCCATCCCAACAGAGCTCTTTCCCCCATTCGTCTCTTCGGCCGTGGATGTCGTGCGCTCCATCACCACGGAGAGCTCAGTTCTTTTCTCGAGTCGCTTCGGGTGACGAACTACTTCAGGGCTTAGCGAATTGAGGGTTTGCGATGTCTACATGGGAGTTAGGGTTTAGGGGTTTCAGGGTTCGGATTTAGGGGTTTCGGGATTCAGGCTTCAAGATTTTTGTGTTCAGGGTTTAGGGAATTGGGTGGCCATCATCTCGCGATGTTGCTAGGGTTAGACTTCCCAGGGTCTGCAGGTGTGTGGTCATGTGATGGTGATGATGATGACGGTGTTGATGATGCTGCTGATGATGATCATGTCTGGCGGCGATGACATGTTGCTGTTGAGGCAGACCACGGCAAGACATGAGTTATGGTGATCAACCGCGGCATATTTGTGCACGTGAATGTGCCAATGATGGCGATTGTTACTACGGCCCGGCAGTCGCCGTTGTTGTCGTCTTGGTTCGAAGACGATGCAAGGGCTGTCGTGAGACATCACACGTCCGGGCGCATAGGTCCCGTCACAGCCATGGATGCTACCAACAGTCATGGCGACCATAGCAATGTTCGGATGTAGGAATGATCTTAGCAGTGCAAAGTATTGACAATCTTTTCTAGACGACTCTTCAGAAGACAGCATCGAACATGGGCATTCTGATGCAGACTTGATACATGACCCAGAGCTTAGACGGAACAGTTCGTTGCGGCGTTCGTACTACTTGGATTGTTAGACGTGTTTGCACATGCTTAACCACAGCTCGGGCTTGTCTTGTCCGATGCTCCCTTACTTGTGCTATGCATCCGTGGTTTATATGAGAGACGAAGTGATTACTGCTAGCTTCGGTGCCTTCCCCGGGTACCTTGTTATTTAACAGGTGGTGGAGACTGTTGATTGTTTTGTGAGTGCAGCTTTTGCTGCGGCGATGGCTGTGGACACACTGTAAAATGTGCTGCCGAAGATGCTGCCCACCTTTCCTCTCCCCGTTTTTTCCTGAGTGGAGCTCTTTCATCCATGCACCCTGCAAAGCCCTACAGCCCCAAACCCTAAACTCCAAAGCCCAACCCTAAACCCTAAACTCCAAAGCCCCAACCCTAAACCCTAAACTCCAAAGCCCCAACCCTAAACCCTACACCCCTAAACCCTAAACGGAGCCTCCACACCCGCAGGACGACATGGCGGAGAGCGCCTTCCGATGGTCGCTGACCCTGGTGTCGAAGATCCTGGTTCGGACCATCTTGGAAGGCGCTCGGGTTTTTTTTAATGGGGCTTTAGAGGTTTCGGGTTGAAGTTTAGGGTGTTTTTGGGACTTTACCCACTTAACGCGATAAGTTATGAGGTTTGAGTGTTTAGTTTGGGGTCTTATCATCGGAGAAAGCCCCCTTCGTAGTGGAGTAGGTAACCTGTAACCTTTTTGGGGTTATTGTAATCCCTGTGTATTCCCAAAGGTTAATCGTTAAATCCCCTAGAATACTTGACAAGTAGGCCCAACTCTTCATTTTGCTAATGTTTCCACTGCAAGCCCCTCATTTGAGGTGCAAGCGCTGTGGTTCTGCTGTGCATTTCTCTGGATATCCAGTACAGTCTACCGCGGTTCGGTTGCTACTGCTGTCACCATGCCAGATGTTATGCAGCGCTGCACGTTCGTATGACTTGTTACTGCTCCAGCTGTAACTAGGAGCCTAAACCCTAAACCCTAAACCCTACTGCTTGTTCTTGTACGTGGCTTTGGCGAAGGAAGCTGATTCGGCGGAAGCTGTGGAGTCGTTGCAGTTCTTGCTTTGAGGTTTCGAGTTCTTCTGTCCCGGCGTACATGTTTCTGCCCTTCCTTTTTTTTGGGTGGCCACCCATGGCAAACACAGTTTAGGGTTTAGGGTTTAGGGACAAGACCCGTGACAGGGTCCACGATTGTGATGAAAGCGGTGAACACGAACTCGGAGAAGGCCGCTTCGCATTTTCCTAGCTGGACCGTCCGGACCCTCAATCTCGCAGTCAAGACACTGCAATCTGCAACCCTAAGAGCTCCGATATAGTATCTTATAAATGTACTATAATAACCTATCATATACGATTACAGTACATCATAGATAAATTTACTATGATAAACTATATAATATACCATTATGGTATATTGTAGCTTTTTGTATGCTGAACCCTACAACCCCGTCAAAGAGCCCGCCTCAACGAATATGTCGTCGGACACTGCGGTCGGCCGAAGACCCTGGGTTTTTCAGGTAGGTGGGTGTTTTAGGCTTCAGGCTTTAGGGTTTAGGGGTTTAGGGGTTTAGGGGTTTAGGGTTCATGGGTTTTGGCATCAATCTCAGGCCTTGCGCCGTGCAATCTCTGTTGCACCCCGCGGGCGACGGGCACAGGAGCTCCTTGAGATTTCAGCATCCCGGCTTCTGTCCATCTTTACGGAGTATGGCGTGCTTTGATGTCTTGTTTATTTTGGGCCGTTTTTTTCTTCAGTATGGCTGATTTTGGGGATTTGGGGGTCGGGGTCTGGCAGCCGGGGTGTTGTTAGTCAACCAGGGCTTGCGGTTCAGGGCTTGGGGGTTTAGCAGGGATGTCAGCAGTTTGTGCTGCTGTCATGAGTCATCGGTGTTTCTATATTTTTGAGAATGTTGCTACTCCGACGGGGGAGCTCTCGTTACAGACAATCAAATGGCGAGGACGCCACCGATGCCCATGATGTGTAGTATATGCTTCCGGATAGCTCATACGGGTATCCTCCCATGCGATAGTCCTCAAACATCATGCAGTAAACACGCAGTATAATACGCACCAAAACACTATTCTGATTCTAGTCTTAAGGCCTAGAACCCTTACTGTACAAAAGCTCTGTAGATCCGCTCAGAGAGTCCTTAAAGGAACACTATAATAAGAACCTCTAAACGCTAAGCCCTAAACCCGAAATCCGAAACCCTAAACCCGAAATCCGAAACCCTAAAGCCTAAACCCGAAATCCGAAACCCGAAACCCTAAACCCGAAATCCGAAACCCTGAACCTCTAACTCCAATAGCCTAATCCTGGAACATTGCAAAAGCAGCAGGGGAGCCTCGGCCCGGAGGCTCCTCCGCCATTCCTCAAAGCCTAAAGCTTAGAGGAGGCACCGAAGCCCAAACATATATGTGGAACCGCACATATATATATATGTATATATATATATATCTACATTTATGTGTGTGTGTGTACTTCTGCTATGTCTATCTATCTGTCTGTCTATCTATCCATCTCTCTCTTTATTTATCTATCTATCTATCTATTTCTCTATCTGTTTATCTATTTGTCTATCTAGGAGATAAGTTTCAACTCCTACAGCCCATGTCATCCAGAAGCCCGCAGCGCTGAGTGCCTGAGCCAAGGTGGGGACCCAATCCATATCACCTCTCTACTGGTCCATCGAAAGTGGAAGCCATAACTGTGCCAAGGCAGCCGGTGTGCGGAAGGGCTCCTTCAGATTTCAGTCAGGGTTTAGCGAGTTTAGGGCTTCGGGGTTCTCTGGCATTTGCTGCGGTCTCGGTTCTGCGAGCTTGTAGGGCTTTGAGCTCTTGGGAAGCTCTTGAAGTTCGTTTTTGGTGCTACATTGCGTTGACGGCTGTTCTTCAAAAGGCGCAGGAAACGAAGTCAGGAGCTTCCCTGCAGTTTGGAATCTTCTAATTTCGCATCTAGTCATACTGGGAAACGGCAGTGCCTCACACAGGTCCATTGATGGAGGTAGCAAAACAACTAAACTAAACCCTAAACCCTAAAGTTCCTTACACTCTTGGGTAAACGAAACCCTCAACCCTAAACTCCCTTACACTGTTGGCTAAACGAAACCCTAAACCCTAAAGTCCCTTACACTGTGGGCTAAACGAAACGACTGAACCCTAAACTCTAAACCCTAAGCCTCACACCCTAAACCCTAAAACCTTAACCCTAAACCCCAAACCCCTAAACCCTAAAACCCTAAACCCTAAACCCTAAAATCCTAACTCCCCTTACACTCTTGGCTTGGCTTCGCGCAGGCCATGGTCGAAGACCTCCTCACGATCCGGGCAGACCGTGACAACTACTACTACGGTGGCCCAATCAGAGGGAGACTTTTAATAGTTATATTCGGAATGGTTTAGGGTGTAGGGTTTAGAGGGTTTAGGGTTTAGGGTTTAGGGAATTGTAGAATTATAGCAATATATGGGTCGAGGGTGGGTGGTGACGGCCTTCGCTCATGCTCCCTAGATTGATCGGGGACCCGCGACCAGATGCACTTCATCCGAAAGCCTAGCCTCGTGTTCCAGGAAATATATCTCCAGCTTCACAGGCGTTTATACGGCATAATTACCCTTGCAAGTAGGTTGAGGTCCTCATGGAAGTGAGGGCAAGCTTTCGGGCATCTGCTATAGCCCTTAGGATGTGCGATCCTGCAGCCCAAGACACCGCCACTGCGACAGGTTGCGATGCGTTGTTCACCCGTCACCCAGAGGTCATCCACAAGCTCTGTGCCTGAGCTTGTTGGTTGAGATGGGATGTTGCCGTCCGTACTTTCAATGGCTATGCGCAGTATATATCGAGGAAACTTAGAGTCTTAGAGAGCATCTTCAGTCGTAGGATTCCTCCGTTTCGCTGTCTTGAGACTGAGAGACTGTCGGCGGACAGCCTAAGCGACCTGAACCATTGCAGGTGTGGATGCCCGTCAGTTGATCTGGCCACTTCTGGATGGCTTGATCTGGCGGTCGCGAATTTCTGTCCAAGGACGCCGTCACAACTGAACCCATTTCGGTGTTAGTCTTTGGTTTTAGGCTGTCTAGTGCGAGATTGAAAATGGAAGGGCAAAGGCAAGACAAGACCGAAGAGACTTGCTAGCCTGACCGGTTTTTCGTACCCGAGAAATTCCGAGAGTTGTTGCAATGGTCATCCAGGACATCGTCGCGTGAACTACTACATCAAGCATCTCGGCACACGACCCTAAACCCTAAACCAAGACTTGGATCCAAAACCCGATCCTTGTTTCCAGGGATTGCTGCTGGCGGTCGGCTACAGTTTGCTGAGGACTTGATGACTTGACTGTGACCCGACCTGCGGGAATAGCACCAGTGGGACCACTCTAACCTCGCGTGGTATATTCATGAGGGGTTTAGGGCTTAGAGGCTTGAAGCCAGGCTTCAGGGGCCTTTGGGAATCATATGTGGTTTTCATGGGGATAGGTTGGGCCGGTCACTCGCCGACCCAAAGAGACGGAGCAGTTGAACAACCTCCTCGAGCCTAGATTCTGCAAGATGGTCACCACACAACTTTATCACCCGCAGAGGCACCTGGTGCAAGATGGCGAGGGCAACTTTGCCCAGGTGGGACTTTGGCGTTTTCAGGTCATGGCAGTAGCGTATCTCGCGATTTCGCCCGTAGAATGGTGGCTGATACCGGCATACCAGCTCTTTGTCACTGGGCACGCCAAGCACGAAAAGCGAAGTTTCATTGGAGGCTCTTGAGTGGCTTGCGGCATCTAAAGATCCACGTGTGGCCGTTCACCCTGTGGTGGCTCCTTGGTAATGACAGTGAGCTAGGTCTGTCTGCACCGCTGTCGCAGCCCATGTAGCAATTCCAGCAAAAATCTGGTAGTTGCGGCAAGAGCCTTGCTCGTCCGACAAACTCCGAGTGCCCAGAACGAATAATTACCAAGACTTGCACGTTTACGTATGTACAATGTATATGTACAGATGTGCATGTAGGTGTATATACCGGTATAGGTATAAGTACAGGCATGTGTTTAGGTTTAGGTACAGGTATACATACGTATAACATATGTATACATTATACGTATTATGTATATATATATACACATACATATACACACACATATATATATATACACATGTCATGTATACATACAAATGTGCATGTATTTGTATATATATATATGTAGATGTGTATATATATATATGGAGGTGTGTGTATAGTGTGTATACATATGTGCATGTATATGCAATTGCGTACGTACAAACAAACAAATAAATGATAAATAGATAGGTATATTCATGTTTGTGTATATATATATATATCTCCCTCTGTATTTGTGTATGTGTCTGTGCATATGTCTGCGTATGTGCACGTGCCGGCAAGATTCGGCTGTATTGTAGCTGTTGTGTCTCGTGGTGGTGTGCAGCAGTAGTAAGGGTGTGAGGTAGTACGGTAGTGGCGGTGGTTGTTGTCGGAAGAGCAGCGGGAACAGGAGTGTGAGTGGGAGCAATACTGTAGCAGTCGGGGCCATGATCGTCGCTGTCATCGTCGACCTCGCCTCGCAGTATGAATATAACTTACTGCTAGCTAATGACTGTTGTCAGCGGAAGCAGCAGCAGAAGGAGTGGTAGTCGCGGTCGTTGTCCTAAACACAATCTGCTCTTTGTACTGTTGCCATTGTTACTGATCCTTCTCCGATGACAACATCTACGGCTACGGCCGCGGCTACGGCCACGACTGCGACTATGAATTCGACTACGACGCCGATTATGTCCATGACCGTTGCCATGGCCAGGGCTTTGGTCATGGCCATGGTTGAGACTATGACTAAGATATTTAAGTCACAGCGGCGGTCGTTACCGTCACCAGGGCCATCGTCATCGTCATCCTCATCGTCATGATCATGACCATCATCATCATCATCATCACCATCACCATCATCATCATCATCATCATCGCTGTCATACTGATAATCATCATCGTCATCGCAATCGTCATCATCATCACCATCATCATCGTCATCACGTCAACGTCATGGTCACGGTCACCATCATCACGGGCACAGCATGGCACAGCCATCATCTCCCTCATCATCGTCATCTCCATTGTCATAGACACAGAATAGCTCCGGCTCAAGTTATCATGCTGGATCCCTGAACCCCGCGAGAACCTTGCCTAAGGTGCTGTTCTCCGACCTGATGTGGACGCGGGTGGTAATGTACCACTTCCTTGCGGAGATGCGCTGCTGCAAGAAGCCTTCAATGCACAACCTATAAAATTCCCCCTAAACCCTAAACCCTATACCCTAAACCCTATACCCTAAACCTTATAATTACCCTAAACCCATAAAGGGAGTTTGGTCCTTGCATCTCCCTCAACAGCCTAAACCCCGAACCCCTGCTAGGAAGTGCACCTGGACAGTATCGCGAAGTGTTCACCTACAGCTGCGACCTACTCAAGGGGCCTCAATGATTACCAATACTATTTTGGGGTCCTTCTCATATAACCTAGAATCAAGTGTACCCCCTAAAACCCTATTCTAATCATGAAGGCCCCTATTTATTAGCCGTTCTCAGGCAGCTTCGATCTAGACGTCATCGTTTGGCATCCGGTATACTTTAGGGGCTTGAATAATTACCTATACTAAACCTACCTATACTATACTATTTTAGGGGCTCCTTGTTATTTTAGAAAAATTATAGTACAATATACCCCTACATTAAACTGTGCATGAACGGAAGGAGGCGCACTGATTGAAGAGCGAAGGACCGCCCGAGGCCGCAAGAGCTCGGAATTGTGTTTTAGGGTTTAGGGTTCCCTGCAGAAACCTAGAGCTCTACTATCTCAGCAAAGGCGACTCTACTTTGCCTTCACCCTGGCAATTTTCATCATCAGCAACTCTTCTGGAGAGATCGTGCAGTGACTCTTGGTTCGGGCTCACGTGGCCGCGTGTATCCCGACTTCGCAACGCGTCCGCCGCAGAAGGCATTGTCTTCCCTCGCATCCGTTTTGACCTGCGGCCGAGGCCAGTCTGTCTTCACAAGGAATGCCGACAGCCAAATGGGTGAGACTGAGAACCTCGTTGTTTTCATCTGCCGATGCTTCATCTACCTTGGCAGCATGCGGAAGCCTCAGGTCTCCGCACCCCCTCCCCTTCGCATGAGATTTCCACTCCGGGTGCGTCCCTGCGGTGGCCGAGGTGTTTCTTGTTGATCCGACGCCTGGCTGCCACTGGCTCCATAAATCCTAGCCTCGAAGAGAGCCCAAACCTTTTGTGGATTTAGCCCAAGCTTTGAACTCGCCTGGTTGGGTGTAGGAATGCAGGAGGCCCCTGCGCAGAAGGATTTTCCTCAAGGGTTGAAAGATCCGGGGTAGGCCACTCGTCCGCCTGCCAGATCGACACTAGTTTTTTTTGAAAATCACGTGAACTCTATACCAAAGAATCCCTAAACCAAACAAATCCAGAGACAAAGGACAGGTGCGACTCGTTATCGCTGACTTCCGTGCCGGAGACGTCATGAGGCCCATCTCCAACTCATGGGTCTTCGCTTTTTCAACACTCCCAAGCTTTAGGGTTTAGGCAGTTCGGGTTGACAAAGGATTTGAGGTTTGGGGTTAAGGCTAAGGTTACAGCGCTGGATTTAGGAAGTCGAAGAACGATGTTGTATGCGGGAAACTGTTTGCAACCTAGACGTGGTAACGGGGGGCCTCGCGGGGGTGGTGTCTGGGGCAAGCCTGTATCCTAGTGGAGAATCACAGTGAAGAGCGTTTTTGCAAGATTCATTCGACTTGGCATAGTGCCTCGTATCAGTTTCAAGCGAAGAAGAAAAAGATGAGGAACACCAAGGTGAAAGAAGCTGCTCATGATGATGATGTTGACGGTGACGATGATGATGATCGTGGCCTGATCATTTCACTGATGAGGATGATTGCCATGATGGTTCAACTAGTAATAATGATGATGTGTATAACGCACTTCTTCATGATTCAAAGGTGTTTAATAAGTACTATCCTCACCATCCCCACGTCAATGTGTGCAGCTCCAGACTTCAAAAAGCTTGCTTCCATGTCAAGTTTTGTGAATCTTGAAGCCGTCAGCTGCAAAGCCCTTGGACGTCCTCCCCAGCGCGCTTTTCGGAATCGCCATGCGTCAGAATGCCTGCGAAGTGTAAGCATCCGTTACCGGTCACCCAGAAAATCTTCACCAAGTAGGATCCTGCACAACACTCAGCCCTACACCCTTCCCCAAGCCTGGACATTTTCATCGGTAAAACAAAGAGAGATACCTTGAGACCAGAGTGCAGGTTCCACGGCATCCCGGTGCCCAAGTGCGTGCTCAGCCGCTCGTGCTGAAGGTAAGGGTTGTCCCGGTGCTGGCGACGGTCCTTGTCGGCTGTGCTGGTGTGCATGCCTTTCTGATAGTCTGCACACATCTTTGAGAAAGAGACAGGCGCAGAGGAGGAGAGATTGCAAGCACTTGATTTTGTCATGTTCGTGGTGCATACGTACATACATACAGACGCGCATACTCCCATACATGCTCCCATGTATTTAGCTGTGTTTCTACATTATTGACTGTACTTAGTCGCGATTCATGTATGCATGAAGAGCAGGCGACTGTATTTGTTATGTATATATCACTTTTTCTGTGTTTGTGCGAGTGTACACAACTGTATGTGTGGACATGTAAATAAACAACTACATACATAGGTACACAGACACATACATGTATATGTGTAAATATACAGACATACATGTATGCACGAGTGTGGGTGCGTGTGTGTGTGTGTTATTTGAGTGGTCGCTCAGAGGTAAAGCTCTTCCCGCCGTTGCCACATTCGAACGCCCAGGAAGTGGGATCTCGGGAAGTCGGATATTGAAAGGAATGATGAGAAAGAGTAGTAGTAGTAGTAGTA